ATTCAAGAGAGAATTTAAATCCATAAAATAGCCCATAGCAATTGTTCACATTACAGATTGTAATAATTAGACGGAATGTCTTACGTAATTCGGTATAATAATTCGGTATAATAATTCAGCATAATTCGAGTAATGCTCTTCAAGAATTCGGTAAATAATGAAAATACAAGCTAGAAACTAATCGCATGACAAGTACAGTTGTGCCGAGTGTTTGCCTGACAATCTTGTGAAGAACTTACGACGACCACGTCCGTCATTACACTGGCTGTTTGCTGTTTGTATTGGCACGAAGGGCGAAAGTAGTCTTTTATTGATGCAAAACAAACTACACAATTGTGTCTGAGCATCAAGAAAGTTACAGCAAGTTTAGGTCAGGCGACGTTTTTTTTACAGTCCAAATCAAATATGTTGCTGTGCGATTGCTATTATTATGATAAAATATGATGTAGTCTGTTCTATGTTAAATTTTAAAACTTATATTTTTCAGGTGCAGAAGTTGAAGCTAATGCTAGACAAATGCGCTAGAGATGCTGACGATGACGCTACTGACGTGACGTCCGGAGGAACGACGGCCCAGAACCGGAACAGCGGTAATCACGGAACGGAAGCTGACCATTCACCTGCCATTGGCTACAGTACTCATTCTCTTATTGGTCAACCGGTTCTCGTCTTTTTGTTTCCCCGCTACAGTCAGCGTTGGCCGCCATTTTGCCTCGCAACAGGCTCACAATTATTCTTCTGCGGCAACTGTTGAGCATGGAATACCCAGATAGTATCTCACTCCCCGGTCCCATAGAGCACAGGTGGTAGATTCTATCGGTCGCGCTACTTCCGGCACGCAAAACACTACAATAATTACGTCCATTATGTTTCCCACGCACTAAAAAGACGTAAAGGAAAGGAGGGTTATCATTGCAATGTTTTTCGGACTATCGACATCCATCTCCAAATGACGCGAACAGTTTGGATATTTCAATTAAGCGTCGGCTAGGTGAACTAAGCAAGAAACATTACTGAACGAAAGATGATTGAATGTGTTGAAAGAAGATACACAATGCCACGAAAACCTCGTGACAGATTGCAGAACATCGTTATCAGCGCGACTGCTACTATCAGCGACTATGGCCAATTGTTGCCACTATTATCGCGCATCCGATGCTCCATGTCTTGTCCTGTTTCTTCTCATATCTTCTAATCTTCACTCCCACCATTTTCCGCTTCCTTTGTCTGTTTGACCCCAGATAAACCATCATTACTCATCATTACTCATTTGCGCACATCTAAAGTTTCAGTTTTCTTCCGAGTGTTTGATGCAGCTGACGTGTAATTTATTTTAGTTCCCCATTAAAAAGTGAGGTCGATAATCATGAGGTCGTCATTTCTAGAGTATGATTTAAACCCTTTCCTCGTTGAGATGAGAGGAACATCTCGATGGTGATTACAAGAGGGCAGTGAGTGTGTGAGTGTCGCGAAGGAGACGGCGACGCACAAATCATTACAACTCCACCACAATGATACGGCCTCGTTAAGGAGGACGTCCCACTCGCTATAGTGCGGCATTCTTCACACCCGGCAAGGCGCGCTCCTTTGATGTACTCATGCAATTATATGTGACAAGACATGTATGTCCTTTAAAACGGAGAGCGATGCATGCAGTCACAAAACGTAAACATCTTACTATTGGCGTTTGTATAGTACTTGTGTAAAAAGTAATCTTTCCTACTAAATAATATTAGATTAAAATGTAGAGGATGGAAAATGTGGACAAATAAACAAGTAAGTTGGAGCAAAGGAAAAGTGCTGAACGTCTTTTCATCGAATGCAATTCGTGTAAAAATCCTTCACTAATTTATATACCCCGACATCGTAATTGACGACAAATTACTCGAGCGAAAGCGATCACTCCAACTGTTACGAATTCACTCCCGATCGAAAACACAAGGTGAGTTTGTGGAGTGTCGCATCCAGCCACTAGCCACAAAGACGCGCGCTCCACTCCGACAAATAGGGAAAGTGTTTAATTAGAACGATTTAATTGCGTCCTAATTAAGACGCAGGATGAAAGAAAGCGTTTATTGTGACGCGACCCATTACGCGCGAACGTGTGTAACTACGGACAAAGAAGCGCCTGCGACGCGAAGCTAGGCGTTCTGCCATACGGAACTGTCGAGCGTGAAGCGGGAAGCGGTTGAAGGGGCTTTTAAATTTAGCGCTGATGCCGTGTCTTAAATGGCAATCCTTGGTTGTGCGAGCAAAGCAAGACCCACTGTTAATTAGTAGTTAAGCGATTAACATTTTTAAGGACATCATTATATTTTCAGCATTTGTCTAATTTTCTTTGAAGTGGAGAGAGGGAGAGAGCGCTAGAGAGAGACAGAGAGAGATGTAAAGTCGTGCAGATAGCATAATTAACGTAGTGTGCGATCTAAACACTAGACAGTGAGGGCAAGTACAGTACAGTAACTCTGACTCCTTGGATACTAACGCTACGACACCTCTGTATAGAGAGCTACAATAGAAGGGTGTGCAGAAAGTACAGTACAATAACTTAGAAGTGCATCCCTGACTCCTTGGATACTAACACTACGACACCTCTGTATAGAACGCTACAATAGAAGGGTGTGCAGAAATTGCAGAATAATAACTAGAAATGCATCCCTGACTCCTTGGATACTAACACTACGACACCTCTGTATAGAGGACATCTCACATCTCACTAAACTGTTGCTACAATAATGAATGACGACAACGATGGCAGAAAGTTGCTTATTGCAGAATTTAACAGCTGCAATCCATACTACTTTCACACACATAGTGCTTCATGTCGTACATAACTATGTGCGTAAGTGATACCGAGAACTATTCACTCCACGGAATGTGTGTGAATTAACAACATTAACGCAAGAAACCACCGAGTGCTCTTAAGACAATTACCCCCAATTAACCACTAATCCAATTAAAAGTCGTCGAGAAGTGTTTGTGGATGGGGGGAGGGGAGGGGAGGGGTGTCGAGAGAGTGAAAGACCTTTGGTTGCGCGTCGCGGGCTCCAAGACACAAAACCTCGGCGCGAACGGAAGGTGTTCGCCCCCGGGACTCTGTTTAATTATCAGCTAAATCTTGGCTAATGCCGGGTTATTGGGGATTCAAGACGCCATTAACAATCATAATCCGTGATATTGAACTCTTCCATTCACTCCGACTCCATTCTTCTACTCCAGACTCAGACCGATTGTCTTTTACTCCCACGTTGGAAACCCTTCTTTCGTAATTGACTACTTTACATTTATCGCGATTCGTAGGCGTACTGTAAAGTAACCTAATTATTGTTATGAGCAACATATATCCCATCTATTAAAACTGTTCCCTAATAGCATCTTATGAAATTGAAACACGTACGACATTAGGTTTGACAACGCATGCTTGTACTTATTGCACCACATTAACAACCTCGATTTTAAGGTACTATAATAATATTTGTGTATCAAGTAGGTTAACCAATTCGGTAAAAGCCACATACATCCAAAACCTAATCGTAGTAAATAGGTTATATGTCTGGGACTACACGTTTTTGATACCTAGATTATATAAGGTACATTGTTTGCATAATCTTATCAAAATAAACTGTGATAGAATACTGTATATTTTTTATCTTTTTAAATGTTATGTTAACTTTACTGTATTACGTTGATGGCTTCGCGTTATATTTTATACAATTTGATTCTCATTATAGGTCATGACAAGCGATAATTAGATTAGTTCTCAGATATGTGTCCTCTCTATACTAGCGTTATGTACAGCGGCTACATTTACTGAGATCCCCTCGCCTACTACATTGGTGACGTCATAAGGCAAGATACACGCGTGTGCTCTCATGCTTTTTACCGATCCAACAACTATAATCGATATTTTAGAAGAGCGTCGCTTTCCATCGCAATATTTGTTATTTGTAGTATTGATAGTTCTGTTTTTTTCTTGTATTCAAACTACTCATTAGCTCTTACGTGATAAAGGTTAGACAAATTATGTTTTATGTCTTAAATGCAATCGTCCTTATTTATATATACAAATAGAACAACAAAATATTAGTATAATGGAGTTATAATAAAAATATGACAGCATGCTATAGCATAATGATATAGTACAATTAATTGTGATGGCAGAAGAAGCTGGTCCCATAGAAACTCTGTAAAAATAATACATTTCCAAAGTGACAACAATACTACAATAGCCTAATTACTTATGATAAAACCAATGACAACATGCATTTTACCAAAACATAATTAACATACATTTTTAATACAAACATATCTTAACTTATCACTGTTTGTTCAATGTTTTTCCATTCAATAAGCATTCCTGTTGTGACTTAAGGTAGACCTAATACAATAGTAAAATTTGAAAGAAATAATATTATAAATAAATAATTTAATTTAGTTACTGTTTGTTTGATCTCAGTGTCAATTTTATTATGTATTTCTAATAATTCCAGACACTGTAAAACTCAAGATGAAAATATTTTTATGTAGCAATAATGTACAACATATTTTAATGAAAGAAGTTTCTTATTTGTATTGTTTTTTTTTTGTACAGGGTGTTTTTGTAACGCAACCCAAATAATTACAACTACCGTGAGACACTTTGACAACAAAACTAGCTCATATGTTGGTATCCCTGTTTTATTTACTATGCTGATCAGCTGATATACATAGTTCCAGTTATCTTTGAGGTTTAATGTTATTAATACAGTAGTTAGTTGTAAAAAATGCTATAAATAGTTTTTTTTCGCTTTCTCAAATACTATAGAACTTGCGAAAAGTTGAGGCAATAAATACTGGAACCAAAATAGGAACTTGTTTTGTCGTACTACCATAAGACAACACAATGATACTCGTAATTTTGGTTGCGTTAAAATAACACCATATATTTGCCACTAACAGTTTGCTCATAATCTATACTGTATAATGTACTTGATGTTGGTTGTCAGTTGTGACTTATTTACCTCGTAGTGAGCGATGGTGACTCCGTTTTTCTCTATCTTGGAAGAAAAGTTTCAACTTGAAGGGAAAAGAAGAGCTGAAACAAATGATTACAATGTAAGTATTACAAAATAATGAATCATTACTTCATTGACAGGATTACAGATAGTAATCTATAGCATTTGAGTATACGTATACATAAAACCCAGTTGCTATTCTTCTTTGCATGCATTAAATATGTTTAAATAAATTCGTATTTAACTGGCAGTAAAAGCTATTTAAAGAAACCCACTGTCGTAAATGAAATTTTTACGTTTGTAGGTAAAATACGTTTAAACCCCTTTACTTATTACCTTTAGCTTATTGTGTAAACAATGTCGCAAAAATGTATAAAGAAATTTATATTACCAAATCCGATTTGGTAGTTTATAAAAGAATCCCGGTTACGTTACAGTATAATGCTGTCTTGCATCCAAACAGATAGTTTAAATTTATGATCCTTACGAGAAATTTTCAGTAAATTACAGCAGGAGAAGAAGCCTAAAGTGATTTAAAATCAATTTTGCGATACAACAACTAAGAAACTAAACTAATGATTCGGGTGATAATCCTGTATAGTTTGTCAAAACTAGGCCTATTTAAAGTAAAATAAAGGGAGATTTATAGATTAGGTTATTAACGAAAGTTTATTTTTTTGATATGGTGAAAGTGTCTACTTCTCGTAACGAGATAAAATATCTAAAAGTGTGTATTTAAGATTATGAATGCGTACAAATAATGTACTAAGTTAATTTAGTTATTGAGTCTGTACTGATGAGTTTTATAAGATTTTTTATGTCATTCACCACGTTTTGTTGCATATATCCACTATTATGGATGCATTGTATATCAAGTTAACTAAAGGATCTATTACTATCGAGTAGAGTACTCTGAATGGGATCCTAGTGTAGAGGAGTCCGTGCTGTATTTTCTTCATGTAACCTAATGTGTATATGAGTGTGTTTGTCGAATGTTTCTCAAGTAGACAGATTTGCATAACACATGGTTGCCGTCTCATTAAGTCTCATGTTGGCAGACGAGGGCCGTTGGCTCGGCTAAACAACTGTCCTAATGTCTCCGTCTCCTCACTGAGACTTCGTTGGGAGACTGTAGACTGCCTAACTGCCAAATCTCATTACTGTACACATGAGAGGGGGAAGTTAGCTAAACTAACATTCTATCGTTATGTAAATAATGTACGACAGATTCACCTTTGTCTGAAGAAGTTGTCTAACACATAGTTTTTCAGTTGTGCTGACTGATGAATGTTTAAGATATATTGTTGTTGTATCGAATACGTCTGTTAGCTAATTTGTTAGCTACGTAGTTAATTTGAGTCGTTACCACAATGTTACCCGACTAAAATGAAATTTATAGCTTTTAACGTTCCAGAAAATCTGAAAGAACGTTTTTTAAGAAGATTATGACAGTTCACCTCATATCAAAGTAATATAATATTCAAACATTTATTATTCGCTAGAATTCAAATGGGCACATGTTTTTCTTCTGTGTACATGTCAGCGTATAGTGCCACAGGCGAGGCGAGTGCAGTACTGTATATGGACAGCCGAGCCGGATTTTCATTTAGCTGTCGGAGAATGACGGGTTATTCGAGGTAAAGAGAGCAGAGTTAGCATAGTCCTGGGAATTCCATTGTGGAGGGTTGTCCGAACTGTCCAAATAGCGATGGAGTGCATTGGGACGGCTGAATAACTAATAAGTGCATCCTATAGGGGCGCAAAAACGAGGGACATCCAGGGACTGCACTCACTGACGCAATCAACATAGGCGTTTGCATTTTGAATAACACCGGGGGCGGACAAAGAGTTCAACTCGAAACAATTGGACTGCATAGCGAATGCCATGCTTGTCGTGTAATATTGAAAAACCTGTGGCCTATTCCCGCGGGTTGGCGACGCCACGCGACGACTACCCCTGTAGTTGGCGACGTCGCCGCCGCGACACTAACGCCGCGACGCCGGTGGCGACCCTAGTGGTACATCTCGGAACTACATCCGCTCCCTCCCCTCACTCCCCTCTCATCCCTTATCATCCCTTATCGGTCTCCCTTTTACTTCCTTTCGCACCAAACGAGCGTCCACACCGCTCCGGCCACTCCAGCTAACTAGCTCAGCGCAGAAAAATGAGCATTAGTACTAATTTAGGCAATTCACTAGGCTACGATATTTAACACCACTTCCGGTGTTATTGACGTTAAATTATCGCAAAAATATTTCTAATAGAAAATTGTTAAATTACTTACTAGGAAGTTTCCTTTCAAGGATTTAGTATCAGACTATTTAAAGATTCTTTTATGACACGACAAATTGGAATGTTTGATTTGATTTAGTTTCTTATCTTTAGTTTTATTAGTTTTCTTAATAAAAAAATGTGCTTAAAATAAAAAATAACAATTTTCGCGTGCTAAAAGGGAGTTTAAAATTAAGTTATACTGTAAAATGAAAGATCACCACGTTACTAACTGAATTCGCCGTCCCCCTTTCCCAATGCAATGTCTTAAACCAATTTTCTTTGCGTCTTACGAATTTTTACAATCACTAAGTTCCAACTAAGTTGCTCAACTAAGCTGTCCGACACGACAAATCGTCTTTGATATTTAAATAATTATTGTTAAATTTAAGGAATTGCTTTAAAGTGAGTGCAAGTTACATCATGTGGACACTGGTAGGGTCTCTATAAATTTCCTTACATTTTCAGTTTTAGTTTAGTTGGTTGTTATGAACTATAACAAAACTATAAAGTACTGTATGTGAAATTTAACATTCAGACTTATCACGATTCTACTGATTTAAATGTATCAAAACCATCAACCTCCCTCAATGGAATCCTAACTAACTTGTACTCTTGTGGAAAACCATTGCCATGAGATCTATTGAAATAAACTAACGTAAATTTGAATATACCCCCCCTCCTCCTCAAACATTGAATAATCCCTGCGTTTTCACCATTGACTGACTATTTATACCTACAGACAGTAAATCTCGTCCATGTTAAGACGTTCTTGGTAGTGTATTCCTCAGTACTAGAAACAGATGACAAGTAAAAATGTCAGATTTTAGCTTTAACTGACCTCGATTGAAAACAAAACACAGTTTCGAGCCTGAGATTTTTTTCTACGTCTAAAAAAGAGGTTTACATTAATAACAAGAGATGTGCTAATCAGTATCATCTTGAAACATATAATAAAAGGTTTCTGGCATTTCATATTCCTCCAAAGACAGGTTTTAGTCGTTTTAGTTCACTACCTTAAAATGTACAAAACCCTTAATGTTTTTTGAGAGTTTTTTCAAAGTTGTTTTATCTTATAGTACACGCATAAGTTAAGTATTTATCAAATCTAAAATGTAGTATACAGCATGAGAATAGGATGAAACTGTTGCTATATATTTATTCTTTAAGTATACTACATAGTGGTCTATTACTTGCTTTTATCGTTTTATTTTTCTAATGATACAGGAAAATAAGCGTTACGAAAGTTGTATGTTGCAATTCAAACTAATAGATTACTTTACTTATAACTTAATTATGATTTTACAGTATACTATTTACAAAGAGGATTGTTACTTTCTTATTAAGGTTTTATTTGAAGACTAGGCAGTTAATATTAACGTTATGAAAGTTGTGTGTTTGAATTCAAATTAATACGTTTATAACTCAATTTTTAATTTACGGTAGGCCTATCCGATTTACCCTAATGGATTGTTACTCGCTTATTTTGGTTTTATTTGCTGACAAGATAGGGAATACAAACGTTATGAAAGTCTCCTACAGTATTAATACGTATGTTCGGAAGTCTTGGATATAATCTCATAACATAATCCTACAGTACTCAAATGTAATAGATATTCTAATGTACTGTAATAGGCAAAAAGACAAAATGCACAACATTTAAACACAAGGAATGGTTGTTTAAGAACACTAGAACTAGTAAACAAGCATTTTACAAGGAGCAGAAATGAATTTTTCGTACATCGTACGTTAGTTTATGTTTTTTCAAAACCAAAATTGATTTAGGAATAATTCACTGTTCACTGTACAGTACATTTCTGACATGTTTCAAGTCTTAGGACGACAACGGTATTATATAGTGTGATGATTATAAATTGGTGTATGAAAATCACAGTAGGCAAAGCAGTGTGGATATAATGAAATCGAGGGTAAACCATCGATGGGGTAAACATGTGGATTGTTTTGTTAACATGTTTGATTACAAACAACACGTGGCATTTTGTGGCGTAAGGAACTGCTATACCGTGGAATTATGTTGTACCTTTGACTATTAAAACAACAACGTTGTACATACAGAGGAGAAACTGTTTGGTCTAAATAAACAAAAAATACACGATGGCTGATCAGTATCCAAAATAGCCTATTTCATTGATTTAGGTTTACTAATCTTAAAAAAGTGCTGTAGTTAGAAGACTTCAACCGATACTCGACCACGCTTTTTTTAATATTAATCTCTTGGTAGTTCCATAAAAGTTGTAACATACTGCAAAATGTTTGCACATATATTTGAGGACTGATTCGTAATCAAATAACTTGGACCTAACAGGAGAAATAGTGGTTGTTGGTTCATCAATAAAATATAGAAAATAACTTACAAGTTCATTGTGTACGTTTAGCTTACCCTATAGTTTTGTTACGTGGCATTACATGTAATCCAACAGCCTATCACATCACATTGATATTGTAGGACAACACTTAAAACGATCAAGCACAACAGTGTAACATATATCTGATAGTGTCAAACGTTCTGTACAATTGCCATTGCCGGACACAACAAAGAGTTAAGACCTTCACTTTATACGTACTGTGGCCGCTGGTTTTGTTTTAAACCACACATCAAAGGTCCAATCAATGCTCCGATATGCTTTGCCGCTTTTGTATTTCATATACTAGCCTCACTTCTCGTTATTTAGATATCGATTGGGCATCTATCTATCGGTTACAGGCCTTTTAGGATTCAAACGAAATAGCCCTACCTCGGCTTTGGTATTTGACAGTTATGTCACGAATTAGTATTAACAAATTTAACAAATCATATAATGTTTTATGGACGAGGTAATATTTAGTGGTGGTGATTAAACGTATTATTGTAGCAGTAAAATAAAAACTTTTGATTGAATCATAGATAAAAGGAGTATGCCTATACTTAGAGAATAATTGTTAGAATGAAAAACTGTATGATTAAAATTTAACTAAATTTGTTTAAGTTAAAACATGTTAAGAGTGACTAAATAATTCACACATTAACTAGGATTAATTGATGAGTCTTCCAAGTTACAAGAAATTCTCTATGTAAGTGTAAAAAGTCTAAATTTTCAAAGTCAGTATCTAAGTTATCACTAAGTAATGTTTTGTAAACACTCGACTATCATCCGGCAGAGTATAGTTATTTAATTATGCAAGTATCTTTCTATAATATTAAGAAGTGTTGTCAGTAGTATAATGACTCACCGGTGAGGCTATAGCTATAGGCTTGAGTCACAGTCGTGGTCGTAGGTCCGCGCCTCGCACACTACTACCCGCACTGTCATGTCCATAGCTCCTTAGACACTCGTCGGGCGCTCACCGCTCACTGCACCGCCACCGCACAAGACTTGCGACTTCTGCAAGAGAAAAAACCGCGCCTGTACGCCGGCGCTGCCACCGCCCCCTCCTTCTTCTCCTTCGCTATTTTTCCGCCCCCCGCCGCGCCGCCACCCTCGCTCCGCCTCCCGAGGAAAAACCGATAGAAAGGATAAAAGATCGGATAAGAGATAGCTCGTTTCTTTTCTTACCCCTTCCCGAGATTCCCCTCAAAACTTTTCTGAGGTATAATAACCTATTTTTCTGATACGAATGTCGAGTGGAAAAACCGACACCTCAAAACGCGAAGACGTGCTCGAGCCCGCGGCCCAACATTTTGGCACTCGCAGCCTCCCCCCCCCATCCAAACACATTCGTGCACTTTTTCCCCTCCCGATGCATTTTTCCTCCGAAGGTTAATTACGTTATTATTTTTCCAATCCGTGTTTCACAACACTGTGGGGATGGTATAAATATTACCGTTTATCAATGAACTCCCAGTTTTTATAGACCACTGTTTGTTTTTGTTTTTCTACATGACCTTAACTGAACTCTTGCCTATGACAAAGCGTATTCATACTATACTAGAACTGTTGGAATAACTTTTCACAATGATGATAACAATTATTAGATCAAACAAAGACTTGGTTTCTGTATTACACAGATTTCATTGTACTCGTACTCCTGTGATCTGTAAATCGTTTGTTTATTTATGACATAGTCGAACAAGGGTTTTTCGATCCACTGCCGGCTTTATCAGCTGTGAGAGTATTATTGATCGCCGAGGCCGTGGCGTGCGCGATCAATGATCCACACTCCTCTCTCACACTACTACACCACTATACACCACACACACTATACACCACTACACTACCCTACTACTACTCGCCGGCCGGCTCAAGGGGAGCTCGACGTTCAGTTTCCGCGACGTCGGGACGTACAATCTCGGCCAACCCTTCTCAAACATCTCCCCTAACTCTGCCCGCGACCTTCCAGCCGTCTTATACGTAATCTCTTGTTTTACTTATATTAGTTTGTTTATAAATTAAATTGAGTTTTTATCTGATATGTAATGTCTTTAAATGTATATGTAAGTAGACATTTTCCCGTTTATTTTGTTTGTCTAGCATAGAAAGTAAATTAAATCGTATCAATTACAGAAATCGTTCTAAATCTTAGCAATAATTATCCTAAACCAATAAAAAAAAAATACGGCTAGTTGAATGTATCGCTATTTATGGTTTAGGACTTAGTCAATATTTACAAACGGTTTTTACCTCTTAATATCCTCTGAAATATGAGGGTCAATTAGATTTATTGTTTCACAAGAATCACACAAGCATAGTTTAAAACGAAAATCTTAAGTTGATGAGTAATTATTCCTTTCATTATTTTGAATACGTCCATTGAAAGTAACTAGTTGCAAATATTTTGAAAATAATTTAAAGGATATTATAGACAATGCTAAATAGTTACAATGTGATATGTTAAGACGATAATTGAATTGACCTTGAACGGTATACTGTAATACGGTGTAGAATTATAGAATTGTGTAATGCAAGGGGATTGTTAAATAAGGTGTGAAACTAGTATGAGAGAATATCGATACCACATCAATAGGTTGAATACTACAATTACGTATAATTACAAAAGCTAACAAGTTTATAAACTCAGAGACCGGCATCACTTGCATGAAAAGACTAACTTACTGCAATGTTGACATTTTAACGATGAATAATTAGGTGTCTAATAAATGTAAATTAAATTTACAATTAATAAATACTGTAGTTATGTTGGAAATTATAACTAATAAATTATTATTGTTCGATATAGGCTTTCTTAAAACCGAGGTTAGATAAATACATCTACGATGTGTTGACTTTTTGTCGAGAGCAAAAGTAAATAAAAAGAATTCAAAGGAAACTAAGTTTAAGCTCAAAGTAGATTTTATACAATACAAGTCAGTAGTCGTATGTTTTGAACGCGATGGAGTATATGACACGTTAACTGTTGACTTAATTCAAAGTTTAGGAAATTGACATAGGCGAATATTTTTTTACTTATTTGATAAAAAACTTATAAATTTAATTATAAACCCTAATTAGTAGCGATCAATTAAAGAAATAACAATTTAAAGTATACCTAACTAGTTGACACTTCTCAAGTAACTAAGTTTTTTTAAGAAAATATTTTTTTTCTAAATTCGTTCTAAGGCTACCTATGATTCAGAGTCTAGTTGTAAGAAAGTGAAAGTATACGTAAGTAAACAGTAAACTTACCAGAAGTAAGAAGGTAATCCGTAAGTGAGTTAGTGAGAGGATGTTGAGGGCACACACGGCGAGGCGGACGCGACACCCGCCCACCGTTACACTAAGAAGATTCCGAGCGTCAAAACCTCACGTCGCGGCGCTTGCGCGGCTGAGGGCGCGCATGAGTAAAAACGCCCGCTAAGGAACCGCCCTCTTTACAAGGCTCCGGGCGGCATCTTTTGGCCAAAACGAGAATTACACCGATACTCTTGAGCCCAACAAACGAAGTGGGGTGGAGGGAGCGCCGAGGCGTCCGTGCGGTGGCGCTCGCGACGGCGGTGGCGACGCTCCGAACTAGTCTCCTTCTCCTTAGCTCACTCGCCAAGACGTCGCCTAGAGGACCAGACGCTCGCACGCGTGTCACTGATAGCACGACCCTGTATACTGATAACACTACACTACCCCTCCCCGCACCCCACCACACAGCATGGTGTAATTGACTATTCAACATAATAAGTAATAGTGGCATTGAACCGCGCGTTACTACGACCATATGATTAACTATGATTGTTTGTCCCGCTAACACATTTTTCGCTTCACACATTGCATTCGCTTTCCCTTCCGATAATGTCAATGGTTCGTTTATTGAATTAAAATGAATGTTTTTATTGTTTGCACCTGAAATTACAACCAACAAGCTCATTCTGTTGGGTTTGCTTTATTTTTTTGTCGCCTGTTGTTTGTATACAATGATTATTGTTTTGTTCCGAAACTTTTTTTAAATAGAGGTTTGGTAATTAAAATATACAGAATAAAATAAAGTCTTAATTCGATTTCGTACTTTGATAAACATAGGAAACTTCATTCATATTAGAGATAAAAAGCTATTTTTTATTATTGATAAGAAGGTGTCAAAAGAGTCCATAATTGAAACATTGAGTTGACAACCAATCGTTACACGATGGTGGTTTCACGTTTTGGCTAAAAACAGTTTTCTTAAAAAAACAAAATTTGATCTAAATACAGTAGTTTACAAGTAAAGGCGTGCTTCCTGGCTACCTCGTGGGAAAGAAATATTATTCAGTTCTCAGATACACGATAACGTGAATTTATGACTCACTTTTTATAGCAACAGGAAGTAGAGAAAATTTGAACTATGTTGGCAAATATGATGAGTCTTATTTTTTAAAACTCTTCATCTTCTTCCAAGTTGTAACCAAGTACACAATTTGATCTAAAAGGAGTCTGGTGTTTTTTGTAGGAATAAACATAACTACTGAATATCAATAAAATATCGGTAACACCAGAGCAACAGAGCAGAGGTCACGAGCATTATGCATTTTCGGTTATCTAATAACGTGTCTGCTAAGTACTCAATGCTTCCGTGGATCATCGTGCAAAACAGAGCCCAATTCCAATTTCGAAAGTTATCTTTAAGCCAGAAAAACCACGAGGTAGGGGATGCCACGCAGGTGCTGCCCATTTCATGGACCAGACCTGTGGTACATCTCTTATGATCCTTAGGATGTAAATGAGCCGAAATTTTTATCCTATTGGATACGCAGACTATCTCTGCAGTCCTGAACCCTGGCGTCAAAGGATCTCGACTAGACTAGACTTAACTAACTACGGAATCGGTCGAGAATAACTACCACCGCTACAATATTGTTTATTTGTAACCTGTTTGTAAACAAATTTACAAATTTGTTTTATTTGTAAATTGTAAAACTACAATATTTAAAGTTAATTGTTAGGCTTAGCTAACATGACAGTATTATATTTAATTTGGTAATTATGATATTAGATAATGTTGACCTGACTATTAAGCCAAGCCATACTTATCGTATGGAAAATCGGTATATCGTTGGAGGGTTGCAACCTTTTTTAGTGATACTGAGGAGATTTGAGGGGGTTAGTCGCTAATTTCAGAGTTTTTTCATCTTGTACATGGTATATATGTTTATCAAAATTTCGGAACACAGTAAATTGATTCGATATGAGACAAAGTGGCATATCAGACATTTTGGGATTCGGTTTAGATATCCGACTCTCCTTCTAGCATACAATATCTGTTGAGAAAGCTGATAAAATTTAGCAAACTTGAGTATGTTGACGAACAGTGTTGGGGGCACGTAGAGGAAACTACTATCAGCTGCAACATAACTGCTGAACAGCTGAGACTCTATTTCTGAGGAACCTCCACTCAGCTGTTGATAAGACGTGGGACCCGGGCCACGTCCGCTGTCTTGCCAAAACCCATGACATGACATAAGACGTGGGACCCGGGCCACGTCCGCTGTCTTGCCAAAACACATGACATCTTAATTCTTACCACTTCTAACTCATTTTGAATGTCGTATGTAGTTAGTTTGGAATCGACAAATTGATTTGTACCTACATCATGAGTAAATAAATCATTTAAGTATTCTTATAAACCGCAAATACATCTAAAATAAATAGACTGATTTAAAAATATGAAATTAATCTTTTTATATGGGAGAGAGAAAAATTCTTTATTTACAACAAATTATTTTGCAGCATTACATGAATCAAATAAAAATATCACATGGGTCACAATGACCTGTGCGTGATAGAGAATTGGATACATCAACCAACTAACTTCAGATGAATTACTACCCGCGTTTGACTAATCTAGTTGGCACAAGTCACGAAAATGATACTGCGTCTTATAAAAACTGAGCATTCGTTTACATTTTTTCCAATTTGTGTTATCAAAAGGTTCATAATTATTTTTTTG